CCCTCCCTCCCTCCCTCTCTGTTTGTACATGCTTGTGGAGGTCCATCTTGGGTGTTGGTCCTTGCCTTCCACCTTGTTTGAGGCAGAGTCTCTTGTTGCTTGCCTCTGCCTATGCCAGGCTGCCTGGGTTATGACTTCACAGAGATTCTTCTGTCTCCTGCCTCCTCTTCCCTTGCTGTGGCAGCTCTGGGATTACAGGCATGAGCCCTTCTGGCTTTATGAGGGTTCTTACTTATGCCCACAGATAAGTGTACCTCTCACTCCTCATCAAAGAATCTTCTTTTTGCAGCACACAGAGAATATTAAAGAGATCCACAGTTGGTCAAAATGCAGAGAATAAGTGACCGAACCCAGTTGGTACATCTACAATACAACCCTTACACCTTACTGAAGGGTGGTGCTGGTGGGGAGATTGTAAGAGCCAGAGGATCAGGATTCTGACTGTGAGGTAGTATCTTTTAGACATGACAAAGAAGCTGTACCCATGAAATCTCAACAATATGCTTGCTTAAACAAGCCCTGCATAATGACACCATCAGTTGACATAACAATGTGGAATGGGGAAATTTCACAAGGACCCACCTTTAGATCAATCAATGACTGCTGAGCGAGGGAGACTCAGTTTTCTCCAGGGACAAGCCCCCTGATTGTTATCCAATCCCAGTGGGGTAGCTCTAAACACATATACTCTTGAGCACCGCTAAATGGACTCAGTAGGTGTTTCTATACGCACACACACACACACACACACACACACACACACAAACTAATTGAATAAGAAGAGGTCATGGATTTGAGAGTGAGTGGGGGACACAGGAGGAGTTGGAAGGGGGAAAAGAAGGGGTTGGAATGATGTAAATATAGTACTTGTGCATGAAGTTTTCAAAAAATTTTAAATAATATATACAGTTGATTAATTTGGTCATTAATGTTAATAATTTAATAATAGAATTAAATAAATTAAGGAACATCATTAACATAAGCTTCTGTCCTGGACTAAAAGATATTGTCAAAGGTGTTAAGAAAATCAATGTCATTAGTTCACTTCTTTGTTTAAACAGTTGTTGACTTATGGTGAATAGTGTCTGATAAATTTGTGACACTAAAATGAGTTTCCACCATTATTTGGAAGAATTATTCTGCCACCAGCTGAGAGCCTTGGAACTTGAATTAAGTAGCCCAGACTGAGGAGTGGATCCCTTTGCTGTTTATGCTTCTCCTGGAGTGTCGTGGAAACATTCAATAATGAGTCAGCCACACTGAGTGCCTCTCTGCATCCACAGTTAGGCTTTTGTGCAGATGGGTTCTGATCATATGCTGTTTTTGGATTGACTCCTATTTTTTCTGAATTAGAAATGAGTGAAAGGTTGTTTTCTATTATCTAGTCATCTATCTAACTTTTCCCCAATATAATGGAGGGATGTTTTTAAAAAAATGAATGCAGTGTCCTCTTTGTGATTATACTATGACATCCTTGTAGAATGCATATTTTTTAACTTTATTAGAATTTTTAAAATATTATTTTTATTTTATGTATATGAGTGTATTGCCTGCATGTGTGTAAGTGTACCCATGTCGAGCAATGCCTGCAGAAGTCAGAAGAGGCTGTCGGATCCCCTGGAACTGGAGTTATGGACAGTTGTTAGTCCACCAGGTGGGTGCTGGGAATCGAACCTGGGTCCTTTGTAAGAGAAACTGGTGTTCTTAATCGCTGAGTCGTCTCTCCAGCCCCCTTTTATTGGTTTTTAAATTTCAAGACTGTGATTTTTTTTACCTCTAGAAGTTCAGTTAGGTGTTTTACGTTTTCTGTAGGGCACAGCTGAAGGTACTCTGGGACTGCAGACGAGTAGTAGAAAACTCATGTAAAACCTCTTAGCGTCTGGGAATGGGAAAGGTCCAACATCAAGGCCTGGGTGCCCAGGACCACAGCTGACAAGGGAGGTGGGAAGTCCATTCTTCAGAATCTGTCCTCCCAAGATTAGAAACTGTGAATGACAGAATCCTCCCCTGTTCCCAACAGAGAGGCAAGACTATAGAGTGGGTAATATTTAAAAACTTTGTTAACCTATCAAACATTTCTTGTAGGTTTTGCCACTGACATTATCTCCCCTGCTGACTTTTATTCTTTCCTAATCTTATAGCATGATTCTTGTGATACTATTCTTTTTTCATATTTTATTATTTTTATTTTTGTGTGTATGTTTGTATTGCCTGCATGCATGTGAGTACACCTGTAGTGCGGAGGTCAGAAGAGGGCATCAGATCCCCTGGAACTGGAGTTATGGATGATTGTTAGCTACCATGTTGGTGCTGGGATTCGATCCTGGGTCCTCTGCAAGAGCAGTCAGTGCTCTTAACTGCTGAGACACCTCTCCAGCCCCCATGATTATATTCTTTTGTTCTCTTTCTGCTTTCTTCTGTCTTCATGTGTTACTGTTTACTATGAGTCTTTGGCCTCTGGGCGAGAGAAGTTCTGGTTGGGTTGGTCACTGTTGAGTCTAAGGAAACACTTTAAACAGAGAGTTCTCTGTCCAAGTCATCTCATTGACTGTTGACCTTTCATGTATGATCTGTACAAAGCCAGTGTGTTGTTTCTGCTACAATCAAATTTGTCCAGAAAATAATAACCATCTGAATCATAATGTTTGCTTACACATTTGTGATGGGTCCTGGCTGGCCCTACTGAGAAAGTAGAATTGAAGAAAAAATATGAAATAAATTAGCCCAAGAGAAAGCTTAGACTTGCAGTACATAACCCACAAGTTCTAGATCCACTTCTAAGTAGTATTGGGAAAGAATATAGGCTTTGTGCTTATCTAGAGTTGCATCTCTGCTTGGCAGCTTCCTAGGTGGACAGCCTTGGGTCTTAGAAATTATAAACTTCTAAATAATATAGGAATTACACTATTTCTTTTAGGGTTGGTGTTAGAATTTAATATGATTGTGTATGTAAATCAAGAAGAAAAGCAATAAAAGTCATGACAGCAAACACACTGAGTCCTTATATGGCAAAATGTTATTATAAACTCCTTTTGTCTGTTAGCTCAATTAATTCTCATAACAACCCTACAAGATAATTATCTCCATTTGACAAATAAGGAGACTGAGACACAGGTAGCTTCCATAACTAGAGATTACACAGCATTGTAGGTGAAGGGGTGGATAGCTCTCCCTGTTAACATGTACACTGCACCACCTCTCCTCGTACCATCAGTGTCCTAGGTCTTAGGGTCCAGGATTTGTGTCCCCTAAGTCTCTGTGACTGTCTAGAGTCTATCCCTTGTCCAGTGCAGATGTGAAGAAACATCTTGTCTTCTCCTCAATTAGATCTGGCCACAGGACTCTGTTCCTGGTACACAGTGATCTCGAGGGGCATTTGGAGGTGTAGGGTATAGGTGAAAATTCAGTGAGAAGGAAAGACAGACAAGGAAATGAGCAACTTAAGACAGTGCAGGCCTTTATGTAGGGAAACCAACCTTCAGAGTGGGCCTCCACAAGAACCAGAGCTGGTTGTCTGCTTGTATGCTGAGCTGGGGTAGTTAAAGGGCAGAAAGCCAGGGGCTGGAAAGAGGTTGAAAAGTTTCCTTTTTTGGCCAGCAGTTGGCCATTGCTAAGGATAACTAGTGAGTGCTCAGTTAAAGAATGTTGGGTGATTCATAAACATCTTTTCTGGCTGGTTATTAAGGGGGGCCATTGGACAGTCAAGACTCTAGAGAAATTAATTTACTTCTAGAAGCCAAATTGTTGTAGTTTACTGGAGATGTTACAGTTTGACCAAAATGGGGGAGTTTCCAAAATGCTGTGGCCCTGGTTAACAGCAGGGTCAGGAATTTCCCTGGGCCTGTTTTACCTGTTCTCTACTCCTTCCCAAAGTTGATTACTCCTAAGGGATTATCTCCTGACCAGAAGTGTTCTCCAGCTAGGCTATTTTCCTTGCCTGTAGCCCAGTTGCCTCCCATGTCTCCTGTTTCCCTTTCACTTGCCCAGCACTGAGTATTTTAAGTAAGGCTAGTCCTTAAGCTAGACTAGCATTTTCCCCTTTTACTTCCCATTCTCTCTGTCCTTCCTATTTTACTTCTTTATATCTCAGGATGTCAATTTAATGAAAGGCTTTTGGCTCCTGAAGAAATAAATGAGTTGGAAAGGTGATATAGAGCAGAGCTTTTCAAACTTTAATGTGCCTATGAATCACCTACAGACCATGTCAGAATGCAGATTTTGATGTGATAGGTATGCTGGGGCCTGGGATCTGCATATCTGCAAGAGCTACTGGTCACCTCAATGCTGCGGTGGTCTCTGGACCATACTCCGAACATCAGGTATTTAAAGGCAACATACAAGATGGCAGATCATTTATTTATCTTGTTTCCTTTTCCAGTCATGTATAAAGAAATTAATTTCTTAGTAGAATTTAGTTAATGTGACTAGTTGTCAGAAGAAAATTTCCCATTTCAAACCCTTCCCCCCAGACTGCTTACCAGCATTGAGAAAGAATGGCATAAATTGATATAAACACTAAAAATGGGCGTTTTCCTTCATCACAAGAATTTAATGACTCTTAAATGATTCCTATTTCTTTTTACTTAACTGTATGTTACAGTATTGCCTTACTGCTGCTTAAAATGGAATCTCTCATAACTGGGAGGTAGGTTATTAAACCTATACTGGTGCAAGGACCACACACTTATTTCAATATCTGCTTTTTGGTTCCTCTTGTGTCACCTATGTAAAAGTAAAAGTTAAGGCAACTTTTATTTCTATATTTTTTGATTTGGAGTCAACTCACTAGGAACATTTATGGATAATTCTGTTAGGATTGGCTGGATAATGCTAACCTGGATGATGAAACATGTGTCAAGCTTTACACATGAGCAGAACCCTCTTGTGGAAATGGAATGGAGAAATGTATCCCTGGATGAAAGGCTTATGTCCTCTTTTTGTTTCCAGGGAGGAGAGCACTGTTACTACCAGGGTCAGATCCGTGGAAACCCTGCCTCATTTGTTGCCTTGTCAACATGCCATGGACTTCAGTAAGTGCCCCAGATAGTATTTATGTTATTTGTTATTTCGATAACTTTTCCTTATGCTTAATGTACTGTTATAAAATTTCTTATTTTATATTAAAGGAGTAATTTGAAGCCAGTGTTAGTTCTTGTTTGCATCCCCTCAGAGGCTTTTTAACCAAGGCAATTTTAAAATTAGAGTTGCAGAAGCCAGAGGCTTTGAAATGATGCTGTCATACAGTGATATTTGAAGAATTCTTCTAGCTTCATCTAAATTCAGGCAGTACTGGCCTAGGTAACTTTGGCTTCTGTTCTTCTGGATGTTTAGCCCTTCAGTAACAATTCTACCTTCCTTGATTAAGTTTTTATATTTTTAAGGAATAATAAAAATTTCTGTAGATGAAAACTCTTGACTCTTTGCAAAAAACAAAAGGCTGCAAATGACCCAAGGAGCTCTTTTTTCAGCCAGAATCCCACATACCTAGCAGTAGATCGTGGGAGGATACATATGTTCTCAGAACTCCAAAGAACAGAGTTTATCCTTTCTCACTTCCTTTCTCATAACCTTTGCATCAAAGAATGTTTGCTGATGGTTAACATGGGAATACATCTTCCTCCAGCCTGTCTGTGATGGTGATGCACAGGTGGCCAATCTCCTATTTGTTTTGTAATCTCTTAAATACTACCATACTATTCCTCAACATTCTAGTTAGACTAAATTATTCAATTCCTTCTTGTTTGTTTTACTTATAGGGGCCATGGAACAAGCTAAGACTTAATTAGTTCTGTTAAAATTTTGTTGGGAACTTTCCTATTTTTAATGAGTTAGAAACATGGCCTTTTTTTTGGTCTAATAATCTGTTTTGGGGAGTCTGCTGTGTACCAGCATTATAAATGTTAAAGCACTCAAAGGGGGAATTCTGAGAGGTCAGTCAGTGCAATGTGATAGGTATTATTTGTTTTCTTTGAGAGAGGCAAAAAAAAAAAAAAAAAAAAAAAAAAAAAACACAGGAGAAAAAAAAAGCAGGGGTTTGGGCAACACAGAGAAGGAAAAAAGAGGGGGTCCAAGGAGCTGTTTTCCTCGCACGGTGAGGGG